GGAGGCAATCCTACAGCGGCCAGGGAAACCACCGCCGCTGCAGGCGGACGCCCCCGCAGCAGCGGGGGCGTCAGCAGCGGAGGGCCAAAGCAGCAGCAGCGGTGGGCCTTTTGTCGCCCCCGCAGCAGCGATGGCGACAGCAAGAGGAAGTCGTGCTGCGAGTGTTGGCGATTGCCAACAGCTCCAGAATCGACCAGAGCACGAATACTTGACCCTGCGCGGGCGCGAGGACAAGTCCTTGTGCATCGCTGCGCGCGCAAATCTGTGCCGCGGAGTGCGGCTGCTCCACTGGGAAAGGAGTGTCGACGGCCACTGCAAAAGGGAACAAGATGGAAGCTTTCTCGAGGATCATGGCGGTTGAGGTCTACTTCGATCAAACCTACGCCCACTTCGGCTCGAAAGTGCGGGCGTGCGCGGTGCACCTCCACCGCGACGCGGCGAAAGCTCCCAAAGGTTTTAAGGAGGCGCACAAGACGTGGTGGCGGAGGCTGGCGGCCATCTTGCAGGAGAACAACGTTGACATCCTTTGTGGGGATTTCAACATGGCGCTCACACAGACGCTGCCGAGTCTTCGGGGTCTAGGCTTGCGATTGGAGACGGCAGCAGCGTACTTCTGGCGCGGATTGGACGGCGCTCCGTGCTTGGACAGCTGCGGCATCTTCGTTCTCAACAGGCCTGGCGAGTACACCCTGCGCTGGCCGCTGAGCGCCGTGCACGACAGAGACGAGGCGGGGTTGCTCTTCGCACGCAAGTCGGTGATCGGTGAGATCGGGCACCGCAACAGAAGCAAGGCAGAGGCCCCCGCAGCAGCGGGGGCCTCCACCAGCCCATCATCGGAGCCGACGTACTGGCACCACTGCCAGGAAGGAGGCCCTGGGATGCCTTACGATCGCTACTACCCGAAAAAAGACGCCCGCGAGCACCTCCAGGATTTACTGACTCAGTCAGAGGAATGCCAACGCAAGATCCAAGAGAAGGAGCGTGAGAAACTGAGGCGCGCCGAGGCTGAGGCTAGAGGGGACCACCGCTTCTCTAATAATCGCGAGGTGGCCCTCTTCCGCGCGTTGCAGAAGACGTTCCCGCCGGAGACCGTGGAGGTAGAGGGGCGCTGGCACGGCGGCGCCCACTACCCTCTCCTGTTCCAAATGCGCATGGCCAGCTCGCGTTCGCAGGGGAGGAAGCAGGAGAGAAACAGAGAGAAGAAGGACAGGCGCGCCCAGAAACAGCAAGCAGCTGCGCTCCAGGGCGCCGCAGCAGTGGCGCCCGAGCAGCACGGGCCCGAGCGCCAGGCACCAGAGCAGCACCGCGAGAGGGGCGAGCAAGACGAGCGCGCCCAACAGGCGTGGCGCCCGCCAAGATGGGCAGACGAAAACGCGGACGACGGCCGCGACTGGCCCGCGGCTGGCGATGGAAGGTCGCGGCGGGGGTTTGAAAGGGGGAGGGAGGGAGAGGGAGGGTGGAGCACGGGGATGGCAGGAGGGAGGAGAGGGAATGAGGAAGAGGCTGAGCAGGACGAGGGATGACATAAGGAAATGAGTGTCGGGAAGGGGCGGGAGTGGACAGGAAGGGGATAATGATAGAAATAGTTACTTGTCACCCCCAAGGTGGCAGCCGGCCCCGCAGTGGCCATCTCCAGGGCCTGCGCCGCTGGAGCAGCGAGGGCAAGGGTTGCAAGAGCAGCAGCCGCGGGAGGCGCCGCGGCATCAGCCGCCAGAGCCCCCGCAGCAGCGGAGGCCACAAACGCCACGGCAGCAACCAACAGACGAGGAGTGGCGCAGGGATGAGTGGTGGCGCACCAAGGAGGGCGAGGAGCGCGAGTGGCAACAGCCGAGCGGCGAGGCTTCCTCGCTGCAGGACCGCATGGTCGACTCCGCCTGGCGCGACATGCAAGTTGCATTCGGCAGCGACCAACGCCCCAGTGACTGGTGGAGCAGCCACAGTGGGTGGAGTAGCGGCCAGGGGCACTGGGAGGTCGCGACCACGACTTGGAGGTGGGTCGAACCCCCCCCCGAAACCAATCCCTGGGAAAAACTTAGCTGAACCATCGCACAGGAGCCGCCCCTCCGCAGCAGCGGAGGGAGGCCTCATCGGCCGAACGTCGACCCTCCGCAGCAGCGGAGGCCTTGCCAATGCATCGTGAGCGGCGGCGACTCGCGCGCGCCGTCGTGCTCGGCGACCGCTGCCCGAGCGGAGAAGGAAAAAGAAACGGTGCTTTCATCGGTGCTGTCGTTGCCTCCTCTCCTTCATCGTTTTCTTCTCCCTCCCCCTCCAATCCCCCATCCCGCTATCACATTTTATCGTCTCCAATCGTATCGGGAGCTCCCGTGGCAGAAGAGCACCCAGAACGAGGTCCTCCGTGACAGAGGGGGGGGCATCTCAGACCCCCTCTGTGACAGAGGGGGGGCATATTTGACCCCCTCTGTGACAGAGGGGGGGCCAAAAAACAAGTGATCACTTTAATGCGGCTTCTGGATTATTGGGCGCCGCGGCCGCTCCAGAG